GAGCTGGAGCTCGATCAGATCACTAACGTCGCACATCCCCAGGCCTAGCTTATGGCGTCATCGCAGGGAGAAATACAGACAGCTGCTTCAATATTACAAAGCAAAAACATTAGGTTTTGTCAGAGGACGTCAGCTGTATATGTGAGCACTCCGGTTTTGGGTTGAGAATGAATGCAGTCAGGCTGCTGTTATTTCATGAAGGATCGTAGCTGCCGCCGAGTTATTTCTAAACCCTAAAATTATACCTTATCTGCTCTCGGCAGGATTTGCTCTTTTTTGTGCGAATGACAAGTGAAAGGAGCAAACAAATGTTTTCTCGGCAGTCACCGCCAGATTCTCTTGCCGTGTCGGCTGTGGTTCGTCATCTGCCGGTGGCCGCCAGAAACCGAACCACGGGTTCCGGGAATAATAGCGTTTCACTTTGGGAGCATGTTAATCTCCATCCATTTTTAGGTGCAGCACCAAACAGAAGAACTACAACCTGGTATATTTTATCATTTTGAGAATTTTATAGTCAGGTGTTTTCCGAAGACTGGGTTTCATCAAGGGGCATAAAAGTAAGGAGGGATGCATTGCATGCCACATTTGTCAAACGTTCACATATTCAAATTTTTGAAAACTATGTAATTTTGTCATGATGTGCAGTGGTTGAAGGTGAGGGAGATGCCGGTAAACCCAGGTAGTAATGATGAAATGATGTTTTTAATAAAGAATCAGGAACAAACTCAGAATGACAGGCAAAACTGGAAACAGACAGATGATCAATGAACAAATGATGGACGAGGACCGGACCAGGAACAAAGACACCAGGTGGGTATAAATACACAGAGGGTAATCAGGGAAACTAGACACACCTGGGATCAATCGAGACAACACAGAGACTCACGGGGGAAAATGGGACTAGACAGAAAGAAACTAAAACTCAAAACACAGAACCTACACATTTATTCTTTTATTTAACAGTTATGCACCGCTTTGTGTTGGTCTTTCACATCCCATTCCCGATAAAATAATTCAGTTTGCAGTTGCAACGTGTCGATGAGGAAGAAGCGGTAAAAAGTTTTATTAATGTTATTATGGTTTTGAATTTAACCTTTATTTTACCAGGTAGGTTGATTGAGAACAAACTGTCAATATCCTTTACCCCCAGTGCAAAGGAAACCGCAAGGAAATTTTCAGCAATGCTTTGCAAAAAGAGCAACTTAACCAGGTTACGTTAAACCCATGATACAATATGCAGACGTTCAGTCTGCAATGATGAAGATTCACCCACGTTGGCAAGCCAAATGCTTGTAGTGGCCTCCCATGTCTTGACAGCCTAACTTGTTTTCTGACTCATCGTTTTTTGATTGTACAACACCAACGTGTTCAATACTTACTTGAGTGATTCTATAATTGGAGATACATTTGGCACTTCAAGAAATGACAAAAAATAAATAATTTCTTAAAATGTTTCATAGGTAGTCTATTGAAAAGGCATTAAACTTAAAAAAAATATCTGTAATTGCCAAACATTAGTTACATATTTTATCATTTTTTCTCAGAAAAAACGTATGTTTTGCGGTATGTTATGTCAACTCTGTTACGGACAATATAGACAGTGAGTGAAAAAAACAATAAATTCTAGCAGACTAAAATATTTTTATTCCATTACACCAAAACTTTTCCTACTACCCAAATACTTTAAATTGAGATGTTTTACTTAAAAATACATTTTAAAAAATCAAAACATACTCAACTTTTCACAGAGTTATTTGCATAGTTTTTCATTAAAACTCATTGAAAACCATCATTCTTTTAGAAATAAATTTGGTCAGTAACACTAAATCACAGCAGAAGTCAACCAACAATGTATATGTTGCTCTAGACAACAGTTTTTCTTGTTTTTTATGAAAGTATGTCATAAACATGTCAACTCTGTTACCTAACAGAGTTGGTGTTAGTAACGGAATTGACAGAACCATAATAATTTAGAACTGAAAACTCTGTTACCATCAACTCTGTTACCCTATTTGGTAACAGAGTTGATGGTAACAGAATTGACCATTTCAAACATTTTTGTTAAAAACTCCACTTATGAGTAGAAATGCTGAAAATACATGACACCGATATGATAATGGTTTAAAAACCATTAAATAAACTTGTCTCTGATCAAAAATCTGTGGTATTTTTCTCATGATACTTTGGTAACAAGATTGACGGTGAAAACAATAACCCCTGGTGATTGTGATTTTTAGACTAAAATATTTCCCAGAGAATGGCACATAGACCTCTGTGTGTTTGGGGTCTTTTCAGTAAAAGTAAATGACTTAATTTTATGCAGTTTATATAGCCGTAGAAGGCAATTTCACAGATTTACAGGGACAAAACCATATGGTAACAGAGTTGACAAAAAATTCTCGGACACATATTTCTTCAAAAATAAGGGTATTTTGAGTTAATTTAATGTGATGTTGTTATTAAATTGACCATTTAGGCAGTTTAAAAAAAGATAGAAAAAACAAATTCACCAAAGAAAAATAATAAAACATAGGTTTTTGCATCATTTTTCAGGTTAATAAAAAAGACAGTACCCAACTCGGACAACAAGTAGTCTTAGTTTTTCAGGTATATAAAACAATTTTAAATGTATTTACTTAAATGTTTTTACTTGTTAAATATTATGATCTATTAAAATGAGTAATAAATTACTAAAACATTTAAAAAATTGAAATCTTTTAATATACCAGACCAAAAATAATGACTCTGGACATCAAATGTATCTGCAGTTATAGAATCACTCACTTTACCTGCTTTCTAATAGCTACAGTCAGACCTCAGATCTCCCCCCGTTCAGGTGAAAGACTCTCTTGAAGCACAGCACCAGTTCAGCTCTGAGGTTGTTGTTCGCTTTATTCAAGTCTCACAATCATTTGCTCGTTCACAGTGCTGTCAGCTGACCTCTTACATCATCGCCTCGTGATTAGAACTGAAATACAAGCTGTCACAAACTGCTAACATCACACAAAACCTATTAATGTCATTAGACATGTTCAAGGAGACTTTTGTCTTCTGCTGAGGAAAACAGTTTTGATAACTGATAAAAGACGACGTCGCTGACTGACGACGGAGCAGACCAGACCGCTAGACTCTGACGAGCCCCAACAATCTCATTCGTCCTCTCGTCATCGTCACGTTGATGGGTAGAAAAAGGACGTCTGCCATTTAGATGTAAAGACTTGTCACAGTAAGCTTGTGAAGAAACCAGCAGCCCACTCCAGTCCTTGCATTCCTGAGATGACACTGCCTCAAATCGGCAGCGCCAAGTGTCACAAGGGTCTGACTTAACATTAAAAACTCGCATCCTGTTTTCATTTCCGTGAGTCTCCGCAATCCCTTCGCCGCCGTGTTATTATCCGGCTCTCACAGAGCCACACATATAGTCTGCAAATCACTTCTGAGAGGATGAAAGATCAACCCTTTCCACTTAAAATGGAACAAAGTTTCAGTAACAGTGACAAGCACTTTCAGGACACTGGGAGTGCTTTTTGTCTTTCTTTTTTTTTTTTTTTTACTCCAATAATGGAAAAAAAACAAAATTTGCTCCACTCAGCCACCATGACTACAATGTGTAGCACATGATGCTGACTAATGCCGTAGTCCTCCCACTCAGAGCGGCTCACTGGCAGCTCTGATTGTGTCCAGGTTCGCCTCCCTTCCTGAGCCGTGACATACCGACTGCTTCTTTTTTCTTTTTTCTGCTATTTTTCTTCAAAAGCAAGTTTTTCGGAGGCCTATGTGGGGCTTTCGACTTTCACGCTTGTGACCGTAGCGGTGAAACAGCGCTGGAAAAGCCGCTCCGGGTCCGACGGCTCGTTGTCAGAGTCCACTTTCCTGTTCATCATGTGTTTTCTGAACCCCTGCGGACCGGAACCACCGGCTGCTCTCCCTTGGCTGGGTCCCTCGTTGGGGTCTCCGGCTGGGAAACACAACGACGAAACAAAAATAATCACCAAACTATAAAAAAAAGAGGGTTGTTCTTTACACCAAATGCTGGGTAATGGACTGGAAAAGTGAGCCAAAAATATTAGTTGGGTCAAAATTCATGAAAAAGTGGACGGCCTGAAGGAACAAACTATTTATTTTGCATCAAAGATGTTCACAAGTCACCTTTTCTAAGTCAAGTCTCGAGTCTTGCAGGACCAAAACTAAGTCTGAAGTTTTTTGTCCCAAGTCAGAATCAAGTCTCAAGTGTGTAACGATTAAAAAAAACATTTATTTATCAAACTGACAACATCTGCTGCAGCTCTAACCCTGCATCCCTGTAGGTCAGGTTTGTAAAACTGTTAAAAGTTACCACATGAAAATTAGATTCCTGTTTTATTTCCTGACAGTTATCCATTAATTTGTTAGCATTTAATTCACTACACAAAAAACTGGATGATTTAGAGTATTTGGAAAATTGATCAAACATAATATTTACCCTTTCAGAACTATTAACAGACGTTCTTATAAAGATCCGGCTATGTGTGCACAAAGCCTAAGTCAAGTCTGAAGTCTCAAGTCTTTAGGTCAAAGGTTAAGTCCGGTCCTGAAGTCTTATTTATTCAATTTGTGTGCAACTCGAATTGCCATCCTTGTTTTGTAGACTGTTATATTTATCTGCTTTGTAAATGTCTACAGCTGTGCAGTGAAAAGATTTAATATTGATCTGGCACTTTCCATGTTTTAAATCAATCAGATCACTTCTACTGTGTATTTGATTCTTTTTGAGAAGCGGTTTCCCGCTGTAGATGGAGAACGAGGTTAGCGATGGAAAGGCATGGAGTTCAAGCACAATAAAGAAACATGATTGATCATAAAACAAGGTGGCTAAATTACTGGGTATTTCTTAAACCTAATAATACCTGATCTGATCTCGGTAGGTCTGGTAATAGTATTTAGAAAACAGAGCTTCGTTTGTGGTCGGTGGGAACACAATAACAAACATGGAGTAAAGATTTTTCTCCCCACACGGACTTTCAGTTGACAAAATGAAAATCCTCCACTGATTGCAGGAATAATTTAGTTTTGCTTTGATGTATCTAATGAAGGTGTAAGTTAAACTTCTTCTGATTAAAGGTGCAGATTTCCAGGGACATGTCAGTAGGTTTGTGATCAGCGAAACAGACAAAAATGAATAAATTTAGCTAAACGTCAAACCAGTTACTTCAAAAGAAAAAAAAACAAAACACCTCACTACATGCATAAACCCACTTTGCTACACCTGTTGCCTTCTTATCCAAAGATGTTATTTTACTAAGGCATCCCAGTAGATTGACAGAGCTCTCAGCTTTTACTGTCTCAACGTTGTATAGTAACAAAGACGCTTCTCAGCTGAATCTCTTCTGAAACTGTAAGCATTTAATATCTGTTATTTCTACCATATGGATATGTAGCGATCATAAATAATCTTGTTTGGGTTGTTTTAAATCACTAATTTTGACAAAACAGGGTTCAGTCTGATTAGCGGCTAGGCTAGCCTTCCACTGCCTTGAGAGTTTTCACTTTTCTCACTTTATCTCTTTAGATATTAATGATATTGATATCACATGTTATCCAGTTAATGCCAATGGGTTGTGTCAATGACTGTAGTTCACACGACAAACCAGCTTATTCACTTAAGGTACCATTAGCTTATAGCCAAGGATGTAGCGAATGAAAGCTAGTACTAGCTAGGTTCTGTTAAAGGTTTATACTAGAACACACAAGTTGAGTCTTGTTATGTATCTGTTACTATCTTCAAATTACTTATGGTTTTCCCTTAAGTCATTTTTTATACTTTTTGGTTAATCTTAAAAAATACTGGGGCTGCAAATTAGGGGAAAAGTCCAAGAACAAGAACCCATCGGAAAACAACAACAAACAAACCAGACTGTTAGCAACAACAGGAGGAGATGGTATGAAGAGATACTTATGCTGAGGAGTTTGAGTGCAAAGAGGCAACATAAAAATGTACAAAACAAAAAAAATGTACAGAACCAAAAGCAGGGGGAATCTTAAAATTAAAGACTGAACTAAAAATGAAAATCCAAGCATGACTAAAGATTAAATACAAAAACAAAGTCCCAAAAATCATGAAACTTTGGGTGTAGCCTGGTAAAGAGCAGGCCCCTGATCTGTGCTGTGCTTCATACAGAGGGCCTGGACACGATTATAACACTATAAAATAAGAAAAGATTGCTTGGAGGCATAGACTCCTTTGAAGTTTGAAGTGATGGGTTCTGATTTGATCCAATCGCTAATGTTTGGTATGCAATATGCCAGCTCTTTCGTAAAGACAGGTCCATGTGAAGCTTACTGGAAATGTCCTGTAAACAACCATCCCCAACTGCCAAGACAGACTACATCTTTTACCAGCAATAAAATGTCTTAAACATTCCTCTTGCTCCGACTTTATTTGTTCCATATTTGGAACGCGGACTGAACGTTCACTTCCTCCACTTCCATTGCTAAACTACAACCGTCGACAGAAAGTTGACCTCGTCGTTCACGACTCCTCCTCCTGTTTGCTGATTGGCCAGGATGGAATGCATCCTGGGAAAGCTAGCTCAACGGTACATTCAGGTTACACAGTCACTTCTTAAATGTGACATTGTTTTAAGTATTGTGTCTGATGAAATAAACATTAAATGCACGCATATGAACAGTTAACATCTCACCTGCAGTGAATACCACCAACATATTTATTTAGCACAATTCCATAGCAGCCGGTCCGGGCAAAAGCTAACAGCTAGTCACGATTAAAACGCACTGTTAATACCATAAAGAACTTCTGTTTAAAAACACGTCGCAGCAGTTAAATGAAAAGAAGAGAGATATAAACTGAATGTGAGATATTTAGAGTGGACCTCATCTATTCTGTGGAACGTGACTCCACATTTGATTGATCAGTAGATAGATACTACATTAGAAATAAGTCAAACTTTACCTTACATGCATAAAAAAGTTGTTTTCATGTTTACTCATTTATTTCCCTTCGACACTGATTGAATGTTCTCCCAAAAGCAGAAATAAAGAAAACTGTACATGTTGGTTTGTGCTGTAGCTCAGATGGTTTTCACTCTGCATGTAAATGCATTTCAAAGGAGCAGTTTATTGCACAATCAAGTAACTATGACACCTTCAGATGTTACAAAAATGCTGTACATCAAATATAACTTAAAAGAAAATTTACTCTCTCATTTAACGTCTTGAAATTGGGTCTCTGAATCTTTAAGAAACTCCTGCTCTTTCTGAAACTCCGCCTTCAGTAAGTCCTTACAACATGGCTCCTCTATTAACCCTTTAACAAAGTTTTCACCAGCGTTGCACTGAGAAGTAGCTCACATAACGACATCAGCAGATCTGCAGTTCCACCAGGTGTTTGCTAATTGCTGCTGGCTAGTCTGAAGGAGCCCGGTGGAGGAGTGCTGAGTTGGAAACTCAGATACTTCAGCTTCAAGGAGGAGCTTCATCCTTGAAGGCGGTGCTAGGTCCACCCAGGTGGTTGCCATGGGAGATTAAAGGAAAGAATCAAGGGAACACTACAAGTATGTTTTGGACAAGGGAATAACATTATAAAATGACGTAAAGATGAAAAAGGTCAACTAAAGTAAGCATTTACAAATGTTCACAGAGGGATTCTCAAGTATTTATGGATGTAAACTTTTTGCAGGTGGCTGTGGTTCCTAATCTGCACCAATACTGGGGGTTCACGTTGCTGCTTGTAATATCTTAAAATAAACTAAATGCAAAAATATGAAACTCAGGGCTTGATTTGCCCATATCTCATCCACCTTAGATGGGTTTGTTTTCAACCCAGCAGTTTATAGAGAGTGTGGCATTGATTTTGAAAAATGGAAATGCTGCCAACTGTCATGAAGCTATCATTCCTTACTCATCATTTTGTTGCTTAGACAGCAGCGGCAACACGACATTTCTACATGCTATTCTGGGAGGTAATGTCAACAGGGTTATGAACAAATCAGGGTGAGATCAGGGTTAGAAAACAACATTGTAAGTATGTTATAGAGTTAGAGGAGTGAGAAACAGAGAGCTGAAGTGAAAGCCTAAAGAGTTTGGACTTAACTTCCATCAAGTGTTGAAAAGTCGAAAAGGATTTTTTGGGGGGTTTTGCATTTTGTCTTGTTTGCCTGCAGCTAGTTTTTTTTTTTTTTTTTTCCCCAGAAACATGGAAATTCCAATCATGTAACTTGTTGAAATCAAAATCAAGGCCAAACTCAGAAATGACACACTCCAGCAGCACATTTTTTAACACTGAGCATAATGTAAAAGTAGATGTCTGAATCAAGGGATCTGTATGCAGCGCATAGAAATATCACTGCTGGTGATGTGTCATAGCTCACCGGCAGTGCAGGTGGTTCAGTTCCATTACAAAACAGCCTCTCACCTGGCACAGAAACACACACATGCACACACACACACTCAAATGGTAGAAATCCATCCTAATTTAAGGCTTTCAGGAACCACATAAAAAAAAAATAAAAAAAAAGAAGCACAAAATGAAGAGTCTGACACACACCCATCCTGACCTGGTGCTCTGAGGGGCAGGCCGTTATCTAGGCGATTGGGTTTGGTGGCTATGAAAAGGTAGCAGAGGACGCAGACGGTGATGAGGAAGGCGAGGAGCACCACGGCCGCGATTGAAAGACCTACAAGAGCACCGATACTGAGAGGAGACAAGGCGGTCGATTAGGAAACAGAGCTGGTAAGCTAGAAAAAAAAGAAAAAAAAAAGAAAAGAAAAAACATTAAAAGGTGTGAAAACAGGGATGGTGGGAAGAATAATTAACATTTAAACATGTGCAAACACTTGTTTCAGACCAAAGCTACTGTACACTTTGAGATAAATCAGAATGTTTTCATTCTGTTAGTGGTGGAAAACAAACATACTTGAGGGAAAAAACAAAACAAAAAAAATAAATCAGAGGGTCACGCAGTAATCAGGTTATTCTGCAGATAATAAGCAATGGGGGGGATGGTAGAAGAAAAGCCTTTTGAAGGTTTTATGATCACATTCATCTATAGACTAGAAAATGAAAAAAAAATGCAAACAACTTTAGCCTCTTTACATCATTTAATGGCTGTTATAAACACACTAACTAGCTGACAAACTCAGTTAAGTCTTTCAGAGTCATTAAGAGAATGTTGGTCTTAAACACAGGAAAAGTATGCTCACCTTAGCCACCACATGTATCCATACTCGTAGGGGAAAAAGCTGTTGGGATCATCGCAGCAATACTTCACATCATTAAAGCCACAACAGTAGACGGCGAAGGCAGCGCTGCCAGGTTTGGGGCAGGAGAAAGCCTCCACAAACACGCCGTCGGTGTTGTAGTAACTGCTGCATTCAGCGCTCATGCTGCAGCGAAGAGGGGTGAAAAAAAAGGGCGAGGAATACAGACAGACAGCACTTCTGATGTGAGGATTAGAGCGCGGAGACAGATTCCTGCGCGAGCGGGGGGCTGAGAGATGGCCGTTGGGCACGGGGGGAAGAGGAGTGTGACTGCATCAACAGAGGGAGCGAAGTTGAAGGCGCTGAGGCAGAGAGAGAGAGGAAGAGAGGGAGGTAGAAAACTTTGAATTGGAAGAAAAGTATGGATCTCTCTCTCTCCTTACCATCTTTCTGACACACTCATCAGCATCTTTTTTTCTATCTTTCTTTCTTGAAATGCTGTGAGAATGTGATTATTTTTTCATAAGCTGTATATCCAATTAGGGTGAAGCGGCACTGTTGTGTTTGCCGGTGTCAAGTCACTGTCAGACATGCGTCTGGAATGTCTTAACACAACGGACTATGTTGTCTAAGAAGGAGTTCACGAGTGGGGTAAGCTCCATGGAGAATAATGCCGTTTTGTCTGTGAGAGGCTAGAACTGAGAGCAGTTCTCTGACACGTCACTGAACTGTGCTCGATATGGGAGTAAACTTTACTTTCAGTGAAGCTTCATGGAGCATCGTCTGTATTTCCAGAAGTATCCGTTTCCCCTTCCCGTAAGTGAATTGGGATGTTCCAATGCCTTCCATGGCGACAGGTGTATAAAATCCAGCGCCTTGGCATGTGGACTGTTTCTACAAANCCATCAACTCTGTTACCCTATTTGGTAACAGAGTTGATGGTAAAAGAATTGACCATTTCAAACATTTTTGTTAAAAGCTCCACTTGTGAGTAGAAATGCTGAAAATACATGACACCAATGAGATAATGGTTTAAAAACCATTAAATAAACTTGTCTCTGATCAAAAATCTGTGTTTTTTTTCTCATTATACTTTGGTAACAAGATTGACGTTGAAAAAAATAACCCCTGGTGATTGTGATTTTTAGACTAAAATATTTCCCAGAGAATGGCACAAAGACCTCTGTGTGTTTGGGGTCTTATCAGTAAAAGTAAGTGACCTAATTTTATGCAGTTTATATAGCCGTAGAAGGCAATTTCACAGACTTACAGAGACAAAACCATATGGTAACAGAGTTAGCAGAAAATTCTCGGACACATTTTTTCAAAAATAAGGGTATTTTGAGTTAATTTAATGTGATGTTATTAAATTGACCATTTAGGCAGTTTAAAAAAAGAAAAAACAAATTTACAAAAGAAAAATAATAAAACATAGGTTTTTGCATCACTTTTCATGTTAATAAAAAACACAGTACCCAACTTGGACAACAAGAAGTCTTGGTTTTTCAGCTATATAAAACAATTTTAAATGTATTTACTTAAATGTTTTTACTTGTTAAATATTATGATCCATTAAAATGAGTAATAAATTACTAAAACATTTAAAAATTGAAATTATATATATATATATATATATATATATATATATATATATATATATATGTGGGAAACCCACTCAGTTCCCATAACAGAATATGTGCAGCTGTTCCTAAAGACGACATTCATGACCAAATGATCACCGTCTGGATACCGGTGGGTAAGTTACAAGTGAAACAGACGCCAGAGCTCTTCACTTCAAAGCTACTTAAACTCTGGCTGCGTTTAAGCTCACAGCAAGCTAAACCAGATGAAAACGAGTTTAAGCCTCGCGCGCCCGAGAAGCTAACTATACGAACTGAGCAACTTCACTAAATGTTTTTATCCCATTTTCAGAACTAGGTCAACCATCTCTAGGTCTCTTACCTGTCCGCGAGCATCTCCTGTAAGAAGACAGGACGAAGGAGCAGAAGCGTTAGCTGTGCTAAATACTTAGCAACGCGTTGTGCATCGGAACGGTGTCCGGCCAACCTCTTTAATCGTTCTTATTAGTTCCGCTGAAGACTAGCTATAAAAAAAGAAAAAAAAAATAACCGCGATGGATCAAATAACGTCAATTGAATGTAGAAATAAACTTTGCAGATTTTTTTTCATAATTACTTTTAAAAATACTTTCATCTACAGGGCTGACATATCAAACTGCAGTGATATGTTAATAAAAAACAACCAACATTGCAAATACAGCAAATCTATTAATTAAATTTGCAGTGTTTTCTGTTGTATTTTGAGTTTTTCAAAAAGAATTCAAATAAAAGTGTTTATTAAAAATAAAATGCAGCAAAACATAAATGGTCTTCCACTTATCTAATTTAATACTTTCAACCTAAGATATTCTTTGATGCAATTTATTAGATTTTTATTATGTGATATTTTAAATGTAAAATATGTGGTATCTCATTTAAGGGTGTTGCTGTTAAATCAACTTGGTTCATTCCATTCTTTTTTTTTAAATATGTAATATTTAAAACAAATGGGAAAATAAATTTGTTCAATTTTTGTTGACTATTCCAGGCTAAATGACTAAATCATATTTGTGGTCATTTAGGGGTAGGATCTAAACATTTTCAAAGCTACTTCTATCATGTGTATGCATAACAGAGCCAAACATCTCCATAGTTAAATGAAAGACAGCTCAATTATTATTTAATATAGAACCAAACCAGTTTGTAAATTCTTTGTAGTTTTATGCCAACTGAGCTGTTTAATACAACTGTATTAATAGTCTTCATATTTTATCCAGTTACACGTCAGATAAGCTGCATAAAGTGAATTTGACCTGTTTTGAAAAAAATCAAAGTTAAAACCACTGAGAAGAGCTTCATAATTTCACCAATCTTTATTTTAAAACATGTTCAGAATTTTAGATGCATTTTTCTCTTTTCTATATCCAAGTTCAAAATTATGACACTGACTGTATCTTGCAACTGAAAATATTCACAACACAAATAAAACTGTCTTATAGTTGCACTGATTTTATTCAACATTTTTATAATCTGATTTTTTTTTTTTTTTTACCAGCTAGGACACAAAAAAAAAACAAGGAATTATCTAAAAAGATCTCTGCGTATGTCTGTGTGTTTCTATGCTACACATCGGACCAGGAAGTCATTTAGTGATGTTGTTTGCATTCATGCTCTTCCCACTCCCACTAAGCACTATGTATGGGGTTTTCTGAGATTTCTGCTTCTCCTGAAGCAAAGCCACCGTCCCAAGAGGAGTATCGCTGCTGCTCATCTTCTTCAGCAGCGCCTCTTCCTCCAGCTTTTTCATCCTCTTCTCTGTCTTCATCTTTCCAGAACCCTTCCCGTGGAATCGGTGCGACAGCTGTCTGAAAGCTTCCTTCGGCGTAAGCTTCCGCCCGGACTCATCCACGTACTCGATCTTGACATCGGGCTTATAGCTGTCCTTCTCCTTGAATTCCTGCGTGAAGCCTCTGTACTCTTCTCTGCGGCTGTACTTGTCATCGAAGCCCATCTTGTCCTCGATGCAGTAGTTGTCATTGGGCAGGGCCCCCTTCGGTGCCTTGACGCGGGCCACCTTTTGCATCTGGGTGTCCAGCAGGCCTTTGTTGGTGCACAGCTTCAATGCAGCTGCGAGGCCGGAGTTAACGATGGGCTCCTCGTCCAGAATAGTGGCAGAGGCCGTGGAGAAATCCGCCTGTTGCTGCTCTTCGTCCAGGTTAACGGTGCTCCATCCGACGTTCTCGTCAATTTCAGAATCTGAACCTCCGCCGTCTTCTTTTTCTTCTTCGTGCTCAAAGTCCATGATGTCCTCCTGGTCCTCCCGGTTTCCAGACAGTCCATACGTTGGAATGTCCCCCAGAGTTCTGCAGAACTCTGAGGTGGCGTTGAAGACGATGTTGTTCTTCTTCTCGGGATCATGGTCGTCGTCGCCTTTAGCCAGGACTTTGATCTGCGCCGCCACCTTCTCCCCAGAGTCTTTGAGAAGCTGCTTCTGCCTCAGCTTCCTCTGCTTCTCCAGCTGCTTCTGGAGCTCCTGCTCCGCCTCGTCCTCCTCAATCACGGCCGGCTCAGGAGGAACGTAATCATCTTCGTCACTAATATCCATCTCTGCCGTCCTGATGTCATCGGACATTTGGGGCAGTTCGTGCGGCCAGCTGCCACCATCTTTACCTTTCTCTTCGCTCTCCTGTTGTTGCTCCTCCTCCGCCTGTCTGCGGCCTCTGCCTCGCGCCCTTGAGCCGAAGTCAGAGGTGCGGGTGTCGTCCAGAAGTCCGTCTGCGATCGTCACCTTTTCTTTCTTCCTGATCTTTTTGACTTTGCGCTTCGTCTTCTTGAAGCCGACCATCTCCTGAGGCGTGTAGTACTCTGAGGCGATGGTGAGAGCAGGCATCACCAGGGACTGAGCCTGATTCCGCAGCGTTTCTTTCATCGCCTGAAGCTCGCGCTCTCGCTCCCCATCCGCGAAGCCCCAGCTGCCCAACCGGAAGCTCTTTTTCTTCTCACCCTCGATTTCTTCGTCGTACTTTGAGAGCACAGTGTGCGGCTTGAAGGTGACCATATCGTCCACGCTCTCCTCTTCCTCGTAGGGCTTATAGTCGGGCTTCTTCTTCTTCAGCTCCACGTTCTTTTCAGTTTTCTCCTTGTCCACCAGCCCCACGTTTACCAGCACATCTTCCTCCTCTTCCAGCACACCTTTGTCCTGCAGGGTCAGGACAACAGTCTGGCCCTCGGTGAAGGAGTCCACCTTGTGCTGCACTTTGAGACCCTTCAGATCTTGTGATGAATAAGAGTCCCGCTTGCTTTGGACAAACTCCTCCTCCACCAGGCTGCTGACTCCAAACTCTTCGTCCATCTCTTCCAGGAGCTTGGCTCTCTTCTCTGCCATCTCCTTCTCTTTGGCCAGCGTCCTGCTTCTCTCCACCCAACCGGCCGTGTCGTCCAGCCAGTCATCGTCGCCGATTGATTTGACTTTACCCAGTTTTTGATTGAGCAGGCGCTTTTCTTTCATGGCGGCGAGCTTCTCTCGCATCTCCTTCTGCTGTCGGATCAGAACGGGGTTGATAGTCTCCGCCACCATCGGCGCCTCCTTGGTCCCCAGCTCCTTCTTGCCCTCGTTCAGCTCCAGGGGCTTCAGGCCCAGCTTAGCGCGCAGTTTGTTTGTTTCCTCGATGCTCAGGGAGGCATCTCCGCTGGTGCTCTGGGGCTGGATCTCTGCGCCGCTCTCTTCATAACCAGGGTCCACCTTCTCCCTCTTTACTCGGGGCTCTCCGCCGCCTCTTTCGGCCTTGCTGTGGCTCTCCCGCCTGCTCTTTTCTCTGGATCTGGAGCGCTTTCGTCTGTCTTTATCACGGTCTGACACCTCTCTTTCTCTCTCCTTGTGGCGATGTTTCTTATGTTCGCGACGACGATCCTCTGCGTCCTTGTCGCGGCTCTTTTCCTTGTGTTTTTTAGAAGAGCCCATCGCTTCCTGTGCTGGTTACAATTATAAGGTCCAAACGAGTGAGTCCGCAAAAGCTGAATCGCTTACAGAGTCTTATTTAGAAGGGTTAGCGAGGAAAATGCTGCTAGCGTTCACTCTTAAGCTAGCTAACGTTAGCTTCAGAGGCTAAATGAACCACGATGACAACTCACTAATTTCGAAGAAACTTGGATCTTGTTTTCGAGCTCTGATATCCACAAAGCGCAAGTTAAGATGTTTGAGCTTTAATAATTTGTGTTTTTCAGTCCAGTTTTACAATCCACAACCTTTCACGACGCTAAAGTTGAAACGAATGTCGAACGACAACCTTTTTCTTCTTTTGCAGTTATCAGGCGGCTCGTAGAGCATTATAAGGTGAGCTAGCGCCACCTAACTGGATTGGATTCCCAACAGGAGATGAACTCGAAAATATTTTCTTTCACGCGTCTTCGTTAAAAAACTTATGAAGAAATGCCATGTACATTACACAGTCTTTAAAAGTCAGTACATATGTATTTTATTCTAAACAAGTGCACTCAATTAGAACAGCCTTAATAACAAATAAATGTGTGCGTGAATGAACATGACTGACTTCATATAAAGCGCTTTTGAGTATACCAATAAAGCACTATTTAAGTCTGATGTAATTTCATTATTATTATTATTATTATTATTATTATTATTATTATTATTATTATTATTATAAGCAGTAGCATAAAAATAGTTGCGGTCTAATTTATTTTGAAGAGCCAACTCTACTTCTTGAGAAAAAACGAGTAAAGACTAAACAATGTTTATTCAGTGGTCTCACAATAAGTGTATTAATAGTTTGTTCTTCACATCACTGATAAACATATGAAGCTCATGGTCTAATGCTAAATGTAACATGTAAAACCAAACATGTAAAACCAAATAAAGATAAAATAACTTCAGTTCTATTCAGACAAGTAAGTAAATTCAAAACATGTTTTCTTTTGCAATATAATTTGAAACAAAAGACAAATGCATCATAGTGTCACAACAAACTAAATAGTCGCAAGTTGACCCCAAATCCTTGGAACAGTACAGCACTTTAACGTTTGTCTCAAAAAAATGCCACTCACAATGTGGCGGTGACAGCTTTCCACATCCTTTCGTTTTACCTGATGCATTGTGTTGCCACCTGTTGTTGGGAGGTTGTAATATCAGGCTAGTACCATAGTTGGTTGCTGCGATGTTGGGAGCCATGGAAAATAGTTACAGATTCGTGGATTAGCAGAAGAACAGATACTGTCTTTACTTGAGTATACGAGGCTTGTCACTGCGAGTCTGTTTTATTGTTTTAAACGGTGAGATAATTTTCCGGTTTAAAAATGTTTAGCTAGCTGTGTTTGAAGCCAGCCACAGCTTGCCTTGTTGACGTTTGTTAGCCTCTGTAGGTGTACAAACGGTACCCGTGCAAGTAACTAAGAAGATAGTAGATTTCTAAACGTTATGCTGGATTTTTTATTTTATATCAAATATTTTATTACGGATATATTTTAAGTTGTCTGTGTTGTGTGAAGCTGGGACCA